CTGCAATGAACAAACAAGTGCAGATGTCACTTCGACTATACATTTTTGCCTCTCTGGGATATATTCCCAGGAGTGGTATTGCTGGGTCAAATGGGAGCTCAATTTCTAATTTTTTGAGAATCGTCCATACTATTTTCCAGAAGGGCTGAAACAGTGGACATTCCCACCAACAGTGAAGGAGTGTCCCTTTCTCGCCACATCCACGCCAGCACTGGTTGCTTTTGTTCTTTTGAATGTGGGCTAGTCTCTGAGGTGTGAGATGGTATCTCATTGTGGTTTTGATCTGCATCTCCCTGATGATTAATGATGTAGAGCATTTTCTCATGTGCTTTTTTGCCATTCGGATTTCTTCTTTGAGAAAGTTTCTGTTCATTTCATTGCCCCATTTTTGGATGGGGTTGGATGTTTTCTTCTTGTGGAGTTTAACCAGTATTTTGTATATCCTGGATATCAACCCCTTGTCAGATGTGTATTCGGCGAATATCCTTTCCCATTCTGTAGACTGTCTTTGTATTTTGGTCACTGTTTCTTTGGAGGTGCAGAAGCTTCTTAGTTTAAGATAGTCCCATTTATCTATCTCTGTTTTCACTTGCTCGGCCAGTGGCGTGGCATCTTTGAAGATACCATTAGCTTCAATGTCATGGAGGGTTTTGCCAACTTTATCTTCAATGTACCTTATGGTTTCTGGTCTGATGTTGAGGTCTTTAATCCATTTTGATCTTACTTTTGTACATGGTGTTAGGCAGAGTTCTGAGCCTATTTTTTTGCATGTAGCCGTACAGTGATGCCAACACAATTTATTAAAGAGGCTTTCCTTACTCCACTTCACATTACTTGCACCTTTATCAAAGATTAGATGAGCATATGATTGAGGAGAGATGTCAGTGTATTCAACCCTGTTCCATTGGTCTGCAGTTCTGCCTTTGTTCCAGTACCATGCTGTTTTAATTATTACTGCTTTGTAGTACAGTTTGAAGTTCGGGAGGTTGATTCCTCCCATTTTCTTTTTCCCAAGAATTGCTTTAGCTATTCGTGGGGGCTTATTGTTCCATATAAATTTCAGGAGTGTTTGCTCCATTTCTTTGAAGAATGTCATGGGTATCCTTATAGGGATTGCATTGAATTTATACAATGCTTTTGGTAGTATTGCCATTTTGACAATGTTAAGTCTCCCGACCCATGAGCAGGGGATATCTTTCCATTTCCTCATGTCCTCTTTTATTTTCTGAAGTAGCGTTTTGTAGTTTTCTTTGTACAGGTCCTTTACTTCCTTAGTTAAGCTGATTCCTAGGTACTTGATTTTCTGGGGCACAATTGTGAACGGGATTGTTTTTTTCATGTTGCTTTCTTCTCTCTCACTGTTTGCGTATAGGAAAGCCATGGACTTTTGGGTATTGATTTTATAACCTGCAACTTTACTATATGAGTCTATTGTTTCTAGGAGTTTTTTGGTGGAAGTTATTGGGTTCTCTAAGTAGAGTATCATATCATCTGCGAATAGTGAGAGTTTGATTTCTTCCTTTCCTACCTGAATGCCCTTAATATCCTTTTCCTGCCTAATCGCTATTGCAAATACTTCCAGTACTATATTGAACAGCAGTGGAGAGAGTGGGCATCCCTGTCTCGTCCCTGATCTTAAAGGGAAGGCTCTCATTTTTTCCCCATTGAGGATGATGCTTGCTGTAGGCTTGTGGTAGATGGCTTTAATTATGTTGAGGAAGGTCCCCTCTATACCCATTTTGGCTAGGGTTTTCATCATAAAGGGGTGCTGGATCTTATCAAATGCTTTCTCTGCATCTATTGATATGATCATATGCTTTTTATCTTTTCTTTTGTTGATATGGTGGATTATGTTGATTGATTTCCGAATGTTAAACCATCCTTGCATCCCTGGGATGAATCCTACTTGGTCATGGTGTATGATCTTTTTGATGAGTAGTTGGATTCTATTTGCTAGTAGTTTGTTGAGGATCTTTGCATCTGTGTTCATCAGGGATATCGGCCTGTAATTCTCTTTCTTTGTGGTATCTCTGTCTGCTTTTGGTATCAGTGTGATATTTGCTTCGTAGAAACTGTTCGGAAGTGTTTTTGATATTTCAATTTCGTGGAAAAGCTTAAAGAGCATCGGGAGTAAGTCCTCTTTAAAGATTTGGAAGAATTCACTCGTGAATCCATCCGGGCCAGGACTTTTGTGCTTGGGGAGACTTTTTATTACCATTTCAATTTCCTTGATGGTGATAGGTCTGTTCAGGTATTCCAGGTCTTCTTGGTTCAGCCTTGGGAGTCTGTAGGAGTCTAGGAATTTATCCATTTCCTCGAGGTTTTGATGTTCCGTGGCATAAAGCTTTTCAAAGTACTCCCTGAGGATCCTCTGAATTTCTGTGGTTTCTGTTGTAATGACCCCCTTTTCATTTCTGATTCGGTTTATTAGGGTTTTCTCTCTCCCTTTCTTTGTGAGTTTTGCTAGAGGCTTATCGATCTTGTTAATTTTCTCGAAGAACCAGCTTTTGGTTTCATTGATCTTTCGGATTGTTTTTTGGGTTTCCATCTCGTTAATCTCTGCTCTGAGTTTTATTATTTCCTTTCTCCTGTTCGGGTTGTGCTCCTTTTTTTGGTCCTTCTCCAAGCTCTTAAGCTGTGAGGTTAGGTTACTTTAATTTTTATTTTTTAATTGAAGGAATGCCAAAGAAATCATTACAATGCTGATCAATTGCAGCTATTATTATCATCTTGTGATAGGATGACAAAGTTCTGCTCCATCGTCTGGCATACCCAGTGGTGTCCACTTTTGATGAATTCACTAGCCTCTAGCCTGTGCTGTTAGGGTTCAGAGTGAAATGGTTTCTCTTGCCCCAGTCATTCATTGCGTGGCTCAGAGACCAGGTATCAGATTCAAGGGAGTCTCTGAGCCTCCATGGGAGAAAAGCCAGTTTGAAAGGATCGTCCTTTGTGAAAACATGCCTCGTGAACTATTTTACTCAACAAGCCTGACATAAATGCTACTACTTTTTTTTTTTTTTTTTGCTTTTTGTGTCACACCCGGTGATGCACAGGGGTTACTCCTGGCTCTGCACTCAGAAAGTACTCCTGGCGGTGCTCAGGGGACCATGTGGGAAGCTGGGAATCAAATCTGGGCCAGCCACAGGCAAGGCAAAAGCCCTCCCTGCTGTGCAATCACTCCATTCCTTTTTCAAGATTTTATTTGGAGAATCTTTTTTTTTTTCTTTTTGGGTCACACTCGGCAATGCACAGGGATTACTCCTGGCTCTGTTCTCAAGAATTGCTCTTGGCGGTGCTCAGAGGACGATATGGGATGCTGGGAATTGAACCCAGGTTGGCCGCGTGCAAGGCAAATGCTCTACCTGCTGTGCTATTGCTCCAGCCCCTCCTCCTCCTCCTCCTCCTCCTCCTCCTTCTTTCTTCTTTTTTTTTTTTTAAAAAAACTTTTAACTCTTATGTGGAAACACAGTGCAAGTATCTGAGGCTAATTGGATTCGAATCTCACTGACTGCAAAGCTCTTCAAGCAATTTCATCACTGAACCTCAGTAATGCTGACTTTCAAACATAAACCTGTCATTCTTAAATCCAAGTGGTACACAAACAGAACTGTGTATTTGAAAGTGTTGGGGGGAGAGCGGGGGACACATAACGTTCTAGGAATGTTCATCAGATTTTTCTCTATCTAAATGGAGGGGAAGCCCTTTCCAATCCTTCCCACCGTCAAATGAGGCCCTCTATGAGTGCTAGTTAAAAGGTGAGGTGCTTGCCTTACTGCAATGCACTGACCCAGGTTTGAGCCCCTGCATCCCCTGCGGTCCCCAAGAGCTCCAGCTCTGTGTCAGGAGTATGCCTGAGAGCACAGTCAGGAGTAGGTCTTGAGCATCACTGAGTGTGACCCAAATACTAGAACACACACACACACACACACACACACACACACACACACCTTAAAACAAAAGGGGTCCTCTACTTTCAACATTCTTTCACAAATGTTCCCTGTCTACAATGTGCCAAGCACATTTCAGAAAACATGTGACATGTTGAAGGTAGCACTACTCTGTAGCACTGTCCTCCCATTGTTCATCAGTTTGAGTGTGCACCAGTAACATCTCCAATTGTGAGACTTGTTGTTACTGTTTTTGGCATATTGAATATGCCATGGACAGCTTGCCAGAATTTGCCATGTGGGCGGGATACTCTAGGCAGCTTGCCGGGTTTTCGGAAAGGGACGGAGGAATCGAACCCAGGTCGGCCTCATGCAAGGCAAACACCCTACCCGCTGTGCTATGGCTCCAGCCCCGGATGGATGGACTGAAGGTAAAGGAGATAATCCCGTGAATGTACACGAGAGCTGAGCCTACTAGACAGAGGAAACAGTCAAAGAGAGGGGCTCGTGGGCAAGAGCCTTGTCTTTCTTGAGGGACGGTAAAGAGGTCCACGTGGCCAGAACGAAAGAGAGGAAAAACAAAGTTACAGCCTTGGCTCTAAATGAAATGGGAAAATATTTGGAAAACAATCCATCAAGTTTCCTGCAGACAGCCAGAGTTTCAGAAAGATTTAAAATTTGGAGGGTGCTGGAGATGGATCCAAAACCTCACTCCTGCAAGGCAAATGTTTGACCTCTGAGTAGCACCCCAATCCCAGAGAGGCTGGACTCTTCACGCACAAGGTGTGTGGTGCTAGGGGAAGTGACTCACCTTTCCCATCAGCAAGATAGGCATGGCCAGGCACATTCTGCAGGACTGTTGGGCTCTAAAGCAATGACAGGGAAACCCAGAAAATTCTGGTCTTCCCTAATTCTTTATACCCTGATTCCTTTTGCTTGTTTGTTTTCTGGGCCACGCCTGGCAGTACTTAGGGCTTACTCTGAGTTCTGCGCTCAGGGATCAGTCCTGGAGTGCTTAAGGGACTGTATGCAGTGCCAGGAATCGAACCTGAGTCAGTTGTTAACAAGATCAGTGCCTCACCCGCTGTCTGTCTCTCCATCCCCTCTCAATACCTTAATTCCTTGGGCAATGGCGGCAGCAGCATTGGCCTCTTTCTCATCTGCCTGCACCAGAAGTTTCTTGGCATCAGCTTCTCTGGTCTCTGCTTCAATTTTCACCATCATTTTCGCCGTCTCCTTGGAGGTCTGGATGAGCTGGGGTTGGAGGGCTGTCAGTTCTGACTGCATGACCGCCACCTGGTATAGAGAAGTGGTGGCAGGCGTGAAGAGCAAGCTCCATCGAGGCTAAAAATGGGACAATTGGGAAGAGCCGAAATGGTTCTCTGTCCCATGATTTATTTTGAAAAATATGAATAATTCTAACATGGCAATGAGTATCTATTTGATGGTTAGTGTTTGTATCTTCTATCTCTATCCTCATAAATCCTCATAAAATTACTAACCATAATAATTTAAAAATTATGTTATCAAGCCAGGATTTGCCGTGTGGGAGAGATACTCTTGGTAGCTTGCCAGGCTCTCTGAGGGGGGCAGAGGAATTGAACCCGGGTCGTAGGGTTGGCCTTGTGCAAGGCAAACACCCTACCCACTCCAGCGATAGCATAATGGGTAGGGCATTTGCTTTGCACACACTCGACGCAGCCAACCTGGCTGACCCAGGTTCGATTCCTCTGCTCCTCTTGGAGAGCCCGGCAAGCTATGAAAAGTATCTCGGCTGCACGGCAAAGCTGGCAAGCTACCCATGATGTATTCAATATGCCAAACACAGTAACAACAAGTCTCACTATGGAGACATTACTGGGCCCGCTCAAGCAAGTCGACGAACAAAGGGATGGATGCTACAGTGCTACAGTGCTATGTTATCAAGAACTGTGATAGACACTAGCAGAATGGGGCCAAGCTGAAGACAAAGGGACAGTTTCCTGCAGTACTGAGCCTACGGTTGATCTGGCGATGGTCAGTGTGTGCCTTGCACATTCTCATGACCGCAGTCACAACTTTGTTGGATTTCTCTGCAGCAATTTGGGCCTGGCTAACCACCTTCAATACTGTCCTTGGCAGAGCTGAGAGGTACGAGATAGAAGGAGGAATAGAGAGAATCACAAAAGAGGGGAGAGAGAGAGAGAGAGAACAGAAGCAAGCTGGAGAAAGAAACTACATGTTTGATGCCATGAAGAAAATATCAGTGAGTGAGATACCTGGGACAGAAGGAACTTTCAAGAACATTCCCCCCACTCCCCAACATACTTGTGAAGGATTAAATCTCTAATTACCAGGAGTCCACCACTTCTGGGGCGAGCTGTGCCACTTTGCAGAGTGCCTTTGATTTTCCAAGAGAGGAGATGGAACTTACCTGCTCCCGCCCCCCGCCCCCCTGCAATTTTCACTGCTTGTCCTGATTCTGCATTCTAAGGCAGATACATAAGATGGAGTTTCATGGCGTTGCATCTGCTACTCCCAGTCAAACCTGTGAGAGAAGCAGAGCATAGTGACTTGGTTCAAAACCCAGGCTCTGGAGTCATGCAGATGTGAGCTTCAGATTTTGCACAACAATGACACCAGCTCTGGGATGGTAAGCATGTCACCAATGGTAAGCTAAGTCTCAGAATCTTGGTATCTTTGTGTGAAATGTAGAGATAATATAAAACATTTCTAAAACCCAGTACTAGGTCCATGGGAGGCAGGGTCCCAGGAGGTTAATTGTCATTCTCTTTTCTGGTCTGGATAGTCTCAGGTCCCTTTGATGCTCTCACTTTTGACTTGCCAGACTCAACTTTTTAACATCTCCCTAACGCCCACAGATCCTACAGGGTTTAAACACGCTATTGTGGCAGGTAGGACCAACTGTCCCTAGGAGTGGATCCACCAAAGCCATCACTGATAGTTTGTCCCTAATTAGTGTGTTGTACTCAGCAATGGATAGACTTACTACAAACCATTTATTTATTTGTCTCAGTTCTCTTTGGTGATGAAAATATGTATCTTAAGAACTGGGGAGATAGCTTGATATGCTGGAGTACATATTTAGCATGATGGAAGCCTGGGTTTGATCTCCAGAACCACATGATCTTTGGAGCATTACCAAGATAATCCTCTGAGTACGACTTAGTATGGAATGAAGGAAGGAAGGAAGGAAGGAAGGAAGGAAGGAAGGAAGGAAGGAAGGAAGGAAAAGAGGGAGGGAGGGAGGGAGGATGGAAGGAAGGGAGGATGGAAGTAAAGGAAGGAAGGGAAGGAAGGGGGAGGGACAGAAGGAAGGAAAAAAGGGAGGAGGAGGAAGGAAGAGGAAAATAGAAAATATGTCTCAATATAAATCTCTTGAATGATTTAACAAAAGTCTATAGCACAAATCAATTAATAATTCACAGGTCAGCCATTTTTCCAAAAGCTGTTGTCCTATCTTTTTGTGACTATCTCTCTCTCAGCATTCCTCACACAATCATGGAGGTGCTGAACCAGTCGATCGTATTCCCCATCAATGTTGTCAATGGGGGTATCTTCCCATGTTGCTGCAATAGTGCCAAAGAGCTCTCAGTTGGTGGTCGTTCTGGGAGTTCTCTTCTTAAAATTTGCAGCCCTTTCTCCCCACTCCATGAAGTAGAATTTTGCACAAAGGAGATGGTGGTCCGATCCCATTTGGAATTTTGGAACAACAGCGACATCAGTCAGGCAAAACCTGTCGATTGAATATGATGTGGTCTATTTCATTGTGGAATCGTCCACCGGGAGACTCCCATGTCAGACGTTTAGATTTGGCCTTCTGGAACTGTGAGTTACCATGGATAGTCTTGGTCGGCATGATGAACTCAGACAGTCTCTCACCCTGTTCATTCCATTCTAGGCCATGGGTCCCGATGTGGAATTCTTTGGCTGATCTTCTCGGTCCTATGTTAGCATTAAAATCACCGACAATGATCTTGTAGAAGGTGTGGTTTCCTTATAGAACTTCTCCAGCTCCATGTAGAATTTCTCAATTTCTCCTTCAAATTGAATGTTGGTGCATAGACAACAAAGATAGAAATGGCCAGCAGTGAGCCACATCTATTCAAGTGTAATTGTCCAATTTGGGTTGTTAGGAATTCGAATGAATCAATGGTCATGGCCAAGTTTGTGTTGACAAGGACACCGACACCACTGATGCCTCTTTTGTCGCATGTTCCGAGAAACAGTTCTTCTCTGAATGCAAGGTTCTGTCCCAGTGGAAAACCAGCAGGACTGTACTACTGTACAAGAAAGGAGACATCCACGACATTGGCAACTATTGCCCGATCTGCCTGTTGTCTGTTGTCTACAAGCTGTTCACTCGAGTCTTCCTGAATAGGATTGGCAGAACACTAGATGAAGGACAACCATGTGAGAAAGCCGGGTTCCGAAAAGGATTCAGCACAATTGACCATATCCACATGATAACCAAGCTCATTGAGGTTTCTCGGGAGTTCAAGATGCCGCTCTGTTTAACGTTCATTGATTTAAAGAAGGCCTTTGATTCTGTTGAGATGGAAGCGGTCATCGAAGCCCTAGCCAGTCAGGGCGTTCAAACTCAATACATCAGGATACTCTGTGAGCTGAATTATGAATTCACTACCAGGATCTCACCATTCTACAAGGAAGTGATCATCCATGTCAAGAGAGGGGTTCGGCAGAGTGATACCATTTCACCGAAACTCTTCAGTGCCACCCTTGAGAACATCATGTGACTGGAATGGGAAGGAATGGGAGTGAAGATAGGCGGTCGGCAACTACACCACCTCCCTGTCGCTGATGACATCGTTCTAATAACACCAAACATCAGCCAAGTGGCACAAATGCTGGCCGACTTCGACCGTGAGTATGGAAAGGTCGGACTATAGCTGAGTCTCACGAAGACAATGTTTATGAGAAATGGCCTCGTTCCTGACATTCCATTTTCTTTTAATGGAACAAACATCTCTGAATCCTACAGTTATGTGCACCTAAGTCGAGAAATCAACATGACGAATGACCTGGCACCTGAGTTGCACAGGAGGAAGAGAGCAGCTTGGAATGCCTTCAAGAGCATTGAAGAAATAGCTAAGAGGACGAAGACCCTCCAGCTCTGGGCACATCTCTTCGATTACACTGTTCTTCCTACATTAACATACACCTCAGAGACCTGGGCCCTATGAAAACAGGATAAAAACACTACTCAGGTCTCCCAAAGAGGAATCGAAAGAGCTATGCTTGGAGTATCACACTTCACTCAAATGAGAGAAAAAATCTGGAGTTCTGACCTCCATCGACAATCAAAAATCAGGGATGCTGTCTCATTTGCCAAGGCGTGGAAAATCAGATGGGCTGGACATGCAATTCGGTTTGGAGATGACCGCTGAACCAGAGCCATTACTGACTGAATTCCACGGAACGTCAAAAGATTGCATGGCTGCCCACCTACAAGATGGTCAGACTTCTTCATCAAGACCCTGAACGATCAGTTTGAAGGTCTTCATATTCCTAGAACAAGCAGACGCCATTGGGCTACACAAGTACGTGACAGGGACAAATGGAGACGTTACTGGTGTCCACTTGAGCAAATTGATGAGTAACGGGATGTCAAGTGATCAAGTGATCAAGTTGTCCTAAATCTTCCTAACAGCCTCAGGATCCTCACAGGATCTGGGCCTCCTCCACCCAGATCCTCCATCTTCCAGTATGTAGGTGTTACACCCACCAACTGCCCCCGGTGCCATGTAATTCCATCAGTGGCCAGGAGCCAGAGACTATAAAACCCAGCTCCTGGAAGAGAATAGCGCAGAGTCTCCTGCCTTCGTGCCTGGCTGTCCTTACCAGGGCTCTTTGGAGGAGGGTAGGTTAATTTTCCCTCCCCACCCCGAGGAGAGCCCCGGCAGCTAAAGACCTCCGGTTCCAGCCACAGCCATGCTTAAGACCACTCTCCACACGTTTGGACGAGCCTTACACATGAAGGAACCAGAAGAGGAACCCAAGTGTGTGGGACCCGGGGCATAGATCTCCAAACCTGCTCGGATTGGGACTGGGACTCCTCCACCCAGATCCCCCATCTTCCAGTATGTAGGCATTACACCCACCAACTGCCCCTAGCGCCGTGTAATCCTATCAACGGCCAAGACCTAGAGACTATAAAACTCAGCTCCCAGAAGTGCGTGGCCGCAAATGCCCCGGCAGCTGAATACCATTTGCCTGGTGGCAAATGCGGCCGGGCAACATCTTATTATCTAGTCCTTACTCTGGAGAACCTGGCAGGCTACCAAAAGTATCCTGCCCACATGGCAGAGTCTGGCAAACTCCCAGTGACATATTCAATATGCCAAATATCAGTAACAAATGATGGGTCTCATACTCCTGACCCTGAAAGAGCCTTTAAATGTGGCACTTTCTAAAATCTCAGGGCTAGGACGAAGGAGACGTTACTGGGGCCTGCTCAAAGAAATCAATGAACAACAGGATGACAGTGATACAGTGATACAGTCTCACAAAGCAAAAAGAAGTTTCCACCCTCTTATAGAGGAGAAAAACAGAAACCCTCAGCACTGAAATCACAAGTTCAAGGTTGTACCAGTGTTGCATGGTATAGCTGGTCTTTGAGCCCAAGCCTGTCTGACTCCCTGAAGCTCTGCCCCTCCCCAGTGCCTCCCACTTCCCCTTCCCCACTGAGTATATCCAAGCCAAGTAAGAGCGAGACCAGTGAAGGAGCTCAGTTCACAGAATGTATGGAGATACCCAAGAACTCAATACTTAAAATGTGTGGATTTTATTATATTTTTGGCTTTTTGGGTCACACCTGGCGGTACACAGGGATTACTCCTGGTGGTGACCAGGGGACTATATGGGATGCTGGGAATCAGACCTGGGTCAGCCATTGCAAGGCAAATGCCCTACCTGCTGTACTATCACTCCAGCCCCCAAATGTGCAATTATTGCATTATTTTAAGAAGTAAAAACTAATGTCCAAAATTCCATAATGGAAAAAAAAACGCTTCAAATTCTGTCTTAGAGGAGAAATTCCACATGACAGGTTTAGGCAGAGACAGAGGGGGCTGAACTCTGTCACTGCAGCATCGGATTCTGCTTTAATGTGGTGTGTCCCACTATGTCCCAGGACAGGGCCTTATTGCATCCCTTTTCTTGACCAGCTCACCTGGGAAGCTGCAAACTCGAGTTTCTGCAGACCTGTCAGGTAGCGGTTCCTCATCATATCAACTTCCTGTCTCTTGCTATTCAGGAGTGTCTTGAAGGTCAGGATTAATTCCAGGTAGGAGGTGGGGGTGACATAGTTGTGCCTGAGGAGTGTGTTGTAGTAGTCAATGGACATCGTCTTCACAGTCTCCTGGAAATATTTGCACATGAAGATGACCCTGCCAATGACGTGAAGATGGTTAGCCAGACTCAACTTTCTCCAGAGAGAAGGAACTGCGCTGCGGGCAAAGAGACGTGGGGCTGTGAGAGAGCCAACTGAGGAGCCCAGCAGAACCCCAAATTATCTGGAGACGTGTCAACTGATATGCCAGACTCCGGGGGAGGAATATAGTCTCACTAGAATGATCAATGATCAAATGTTTTCTATGTGAGGTCACTTTGATGACTCATCAGAGCTTAAAAACTGTAGTATTTTTCTTTTCTTTCTTTTTTTTAAAGAAAGGTTTTGGGGTCACATCTGGTGTTCAGGGCTGAGTCTCAGCTCTGTGCTCAGGAATCACTCCTGGCAGGCTTGGGTGAATTCAAATTTGGGGTACCGGAGGTTGCATCATATGCAAGGCAAGCACTCTACCTTCTGTACTATTACACCAGCCCTTAAAGCTGTAGCATTTATTATTTTTTCTTTTTAGTTTTTGTGGGGGGCAGGGGTTGAGGGTCACACCCAGCAATGCTCAAGGGTCACTCCTGACTATGCTCTCAGGAAATACTCCTGGTGGTGCTCAGGAACCATGTGGGATGCTGGGGATCAAACGTGGGCCAGGTATGTGAAAGACAAGTGCCTTTTCCACTGATTTCTCTCTGGCCCCAAGCTGAGGTCTTAATTTCTGGGAATCTGATAAAGCCTTTGTACCTTGCAGGGGGAAAATGTACAAAGATAAAATAATTTTCAAAATAGTTTAAAAGCCAAATATATATGGCTTTTACACACATGCATTAAATCTGGAGCAAGCATTTTTTTTCCTGAAAGGGACTATATGATAGGCTTTATTAGTATCAGTGTCAACTACTCAACTCTGCTGTATAGTGTGAAAAAAAGGGGGAAAGCTGTTTCAATAAAATTTATTTACAAAAAGATAGTGTGAACTGTACTTTCCCATGGCTACGGTTTACTAACTGTTGCATTAAGTAATAAGTTTGAGTAAGTCTAAAACTACCATAATTTAAGTATCTGGATTGGACTTAACTATAGTGCCTATTGGTAATGAAGTCAACAAGTCACTAAACTACTGGTGAGTAATGCCTCTGTTTACCATTGAAGAAGATGCAACATATTAGTAGGGAAAATAATATATCAATAGAGTGTTGGTGAAAATAGAGATGCAATTTTTGTCCCTTTCACATTTATTGACCTTTATTGACCTTTTGAGAATTTTATTCATGCATGAATCTATGGAACCAGAGTCTTCTGGTCTAGTGAACAAAGATTAAAATTCTTAAAATGGAACTTAAGCGACCTAAAGATAGTACAGGGAGTAAGGTGCTTGCCATGCACACAGCTGACCCCTGTACTATCCCTGGCATTATATATAGTCCTCGGTGCATTGCCAGGAGTTATCCTGAGTACAGAGTCAGGAGTAAGCCCTGAGCACAGTTGATGTGTGGCCTAACCCCACCCCCTAACCCTCTCAAAAATAGAAAAAAGGAATTTAAGGTTGTCAACTTTGACTTCTATTTATTCGCATTCTATTAGTTCATTCTATAAATAATAATTGAACCCATTTAACTTGATACCAGTAATGAGCTGGGAACTAAAGATAAGGCAGGTGACATGACCTCTGCCTTCAACCAGGTTGCTAGGGTAATCGACCAATCACCTTTTCCTTTAGCTGAAATTAAGTGCTCCTTATTTAAAACTTTTCTGCATTTTCATGTTTTAGACAAGTGGGTAAATCATTTTTTTTTATTTTCACAAGAAACAGTTTGATTTTCTTTGGCAAAGGTCCACCCCTGTTGAGAATAGGTGTTCCAAATGGAAAGAACTGAATTTATATATTCATAGGGCTGGAGTGATAGCACAGCCAGTAGGACTTTGCACGCGCCCAACCTGGCCAACCCAGGTTCAACTCCTCCGTCCCTCTCAGAGAGCCAGGCAAGTTACCAAGAGTATCTTGCCCACACGGCAAAGCCTGGCAAGCTACCCATGATGTATTCGATATGCCAAACATAGTAACAAGTATCACAATGGAGATGTTACTGGGCTAGCTCGAGCAAATCAATGAACAACGGGAGGACAGTGCACCTCTAGGGCAATTCTGAGCAATGAAACTTTATTATTTATCACATGTTTATAAATAAGTGATTCAGGTTGGAGCAATAGCACAGCGATAGGGTGTTTGTCTTGTGCGCAGCCAACATGGCCGACCCAAGTTCGATTCCTCCGCCCCTCTCAGAGAGCCCGGCAAGCTACCGAGAGTATCTCACCCGCACGGCAGAGCCTGGCAAGCTACCTGTGATGTATTCGATATGCCAAACACAGTAACAACAAACTCTCCAATGGAGACGTTACTGGGCCTGCTCGAGCAAATTGATGAACAACGGGAGGACAGTGACAGTGACAGTGACGGGAGTGAGAAAGAGAGTTCAAAGGGTTGAGCATATGCTTTGTATGCAGGAAGCCTGGGGTCAATACCCAGCACTGACTGCAAGGTCCCCATACTGCACAGTTCCATGAGCACAGAGCAGAGTCAGTAGCAGCCCTCAAGCACTGCCCTGTGTGGTTCCCAAACCAAACCAAACTAAATGAATGATTCAATTAAAAAGTATGAGGGGGCCAGGAAGATAAGTACAGGAGGTATGGCACTTGTCTTGCATGTGACTGATGCCAGTACAAATTTTTCAAGCCACATGTCTCTGAGGACTCTGAGGCGTCAGACCTGAGCACAGAATAGCTCCTGAGCACCTGAGCACGGCAGGGTGTTTCCCCAAAACCAACCAACCAACCAACCAACCAACCAACCAACCAACCAACCAAGCCACCACTACCAACAATAACAACGAAACAACCCCTCCCCCGAGACCAAAGAAAAACATAGAGGGCCTTTATATAAATTAATTGAGAGGGGCCAAAGCGATAGCACAGTGGGTAGGGTGTTTGCCTTGCATGTGGCCAACCTGGGTTCAATCCCGGATATCCCATATGGTCTCCCAAGCACCGCCAGGAGTAATTCCTGAGTGCAGAGTTAGGAGTAACCCCTGAGTATTGCTGGGTATTACCCAAAAAGAAAAAAAAAGTTGCAAAATATTTTTCAAGACCAAGTTTATAGCCAATTTCAACAGAGTGAAAATTTCAACTAAGAACATTCAGTTGGGTTCTAAAAGGTAACCACCAGCACTTACTCTCTCCGAACACTGTCATCAAGCTCCACATCCTCTAAGAATTTGTTGGCCACCAACTCCAGGGCATCTGTGGGCCAGGACTGGAACCAGTCAATCGTACAGCAGTTGATCAATGAAGGGAACATGCGCAGGCGGTTCCGGAAGGCATCCCCAATTGGACTCATGGCTAATGAAAAGTAGGTTTTGTTAGTGACCCACCCTCCAGAGGTCGCCCAAAGGGTTTAGCAGGTTTTGACAAGGATTCTGGTTGGAGTGATAGCAATGCTGTCACTGGGGTCTCCGTGTTTAACTAGAAATGACCTCAATTAGTGCCCAGGTTGCTCAAGAAAATCATGGGATATTTTCGTGTAATTTTGTGATGGCAATTCTGTGTATTGTTTATAGCATCTTCTGATAGTCCTTCCATGACCATTACTGTCCTTTCCAGATCTTTTGGGGAACCTTGTCAGGGTGATTAAGTCCTTGCTCCAGTTGTTCCATTTTTAATCAGACATAAGGGAGCAATTAGAGCCTCATCTATACTTAGATAAGTTAATGTGGGGAGAACATCAGTTGGTTCTTAATCTACCCCATCTCCATCTAACTGCAAAATTTGTGTTTCTATATGCCAAATTATATTAGCATTTTATTTTGACTCAATGTGATAGAAGAAATCATGATACATAGGACAAAATGTTTTAAAGATCAGTTTGGCTGAAGAACAGAGAGCAAAGAGGTTACTTGGATCTGAAGTGGAGAGTGGAGGTCTAAGGGACTGACAGAATGCCCGCCTCCCATACGTGAGGTTTAGGGTTGGATATTTGGCACTGCATAAATAAATAGAAAATTTAAGAAAAAATAGCTGTAGTTTAAAATTTTGATCTTTTTTTTTTTTTAAATAATTTATTTATTTATTGAATCACTGTGGGAAAAGTTACAGAGCTTTCGGGTTTAGGTCTCAGTCATGTAGATACCGAACACATTTCCCTTTGCCAATAATCATTTTTAACCCCGAACCCCAATAGACCCCCACCTCCCACCCCTCCCAATTCTTGTGAGGCAGATGAGTTCTAGTTAATACTCTATCTACTTTGACTAGATAGATTATTTCGATAGAAGATGCACAATTATTGTTTAGAGTTTACGACCCACCCCCCCCCCCAATCAGACATGCTGAAACAGCGTTGTGAAATGATTTGCTTTCTACAACTTGGTTTAAGAATAAAATGATGTCGCGCGGCCGCCATAGCGGCCGCGCGGTTTTAAATTTCTGCTATTTTACTTATTGACCCTGGAAGAATTTCTATTAAAAGTTAGCTAGTTAAGAGATTGGTTTCTGTGCCCTGGAGTCGTGGCCGTGCCGGAGAGCCGCTCATGGGGGGCAGCTGGCGACCTCGGTGGGGCGTGGGGGACGGCCCACAGAGCCCCCCTTCCCATGAGGTCCCCGCCGCTCCCCCCCCCCGAGCCCGGCTCAAACCTGCTTTCCACAAGGCTCCCGTGCGGCCGCCATCTTTCTTTCCAGAGAGGAGCGGGCGGGCTGGTCAACGCCCTTCCCCCTCCGGGCAGGCTTGGTGGCGCGGATCAACACAAGTCCATTTGCTTTTCTGCTCCAAGCGGCTGGTTCTCTGTGCTAAGTCCTTGTGCCTCCGGGGCCGTGGCCGTGCCGGAGAGCCGCTCGTGGGGGGCAGCTGGCGACCTTGGTGGGGTGTGGGGGACGGCCCACAGAGCCCCCCTTCCCATGAGGTCCCCGCCGCTCCCCCCCCCGAGCCCGGCTCAAACCCGCTTTCCACAAGGCTCCCGTGCGGCCGCCATCTTTCTTTCCAGAGAGGAGCGGGCGGGCTTAAAATTTTGATCTTAATACTAACGTAAAACATGCCAAAAAGTAAAACAGAAAGGTCTGGACTGGACGAAAGTGGTATAAAGACAGAAGTTTAAGGTTGATAAGACATGGTAACAAGAGAAACTGACAAAAACTGTGGGTCTTTGGTTAGAGTAGATGAAGAATTCTAGATTCTTTGTGTGAGGCCACAGGGATAAAATACAAAGAGGAAGGAGGAGAGGAACTGACAAAACTAGACATGCTTAAAAATAATTTCTCAGGAGACTGCAAGTTTCCATAGAAATTCCAGGCACTGACCCATGGGTGGATGCTAGGACTGGATCAGTCATGGAATTGTTAAGAAAACCAGATGTAGGGCACTCAGAGGCAAAGGGAGAACGGAGCTGACTTCTTACCAAGGACAATATGAAGGTTCTTTTTCACTCTTTCAATGAAAAAGTTATACATAGAAAGAGGAGTGACCTCAATCTTCTGGCCATCGGTTCTCGCTGCCATTTGCATCTTCTCTACAATGTCGGCCTTCTCATCAGCTGGGAAGATATTGGGAACATCGCCTGTGTTCAGAAGCATGTTGATGTCTTCCACGAAAGACTCATCCATGATCTGATTATCGGCAAAGAGGAAGACAGTTTTCTTGACGACCACCCCGGATTGCAACATGATCTTCTTCAAGTCTTCCCTCCAGTCGTTACTCGAGTAGCTCTTCGTGATCTCGATCTGGTACAGCTCGTATGAGTTCATGAACGTGGACAGTTTGCTGGCACTTTGGCGCCCACTGCCCCCAATCCCCACCAGGAGCAAGTGGCCTTTGTCCTGCTTCAGGACTCTGCAGATCCTGGAGATGTGCTCAATGGCGAACTTGAACATGACCAAGGACATGGGGGCCTTGCTGACATTGTTGAACTCTTCCAGGTAGTACTCCATCACCGTCGTGAGCTGTTTCAGATCGGTGATCTCATCGTAGATTTTTACATCACTGCTTGGCTTGAAGAAATCTCCAAAAAAGAGGTTGCGGATATTATCGTCAACAATTTTCCCAGTAGGGGACAGGTGGAAGAGGACCTGTGGGAAAGAGAGAACTCAGTCAAGCATGACATCGGTCGATGGCCAAATGGGATGACAATGGGAGGTGAAGGGGAAGAAACAGGCTTTAAAGCCATTAGTTTGGGACTGGAACAATAGCACAGTGAGTAGGGTGTTTGCCTTTGCACGTGGTCAACCGAGGTTCGATTCCCAGCATCCCATATGGTCCCACAAGCACCGCCAGGAGTAATTCCTGAGTGCAGAGCCAGGAGTAACCCCTGAGCATTGCTGGGTGTGACCCAAAAAACAAAAAAAGAAGAAAAGTCATTAGTTTGTCAGTAGATAAAAAACAAACTTTGAAACATGCCTATTGAGATGGCAAGCTGGGGGGAGGGCATGGGAACTCTGGTGGAAGGAAGGAAGCTGACACTGGTGGTGGGATTGGTACCAATCTAATTAATTAGTTATACAACTAGAATATGGCATGACTAAGACTTATCTGTCAATAAGTTTGTGGGTCATGGCCCTTTAATTAATTTCAGAAATAAATTGAAACAAACCAAACCAACCCAGAAAACCCAACCATAACATGTCAATCTAATGGCTTAAGACTGATGAAAGGGCACTAGAGAGAGATGTGCAAGTGTGGGTCAATCTGTTTGCTAAGTGGCTTAAACAGTGGTGACGAGATTGTAAAATCCCCAGAGGATTGTCATTTTTTTTTATGTGCTTGCTGTTTCACCAGACTTCAGTACTGTTTCTACCTTTTCTCCTCACTCTGTGCCTACAGCAATAGTGTTTTAGATACTGCTTCCTGATATTAGAACCTGGCACTACTTCTGAAATTGACCTCTGGATGAAACATGAAATACTTGCATAGCTTTTCCTATGGAGAAATTATAGCACTGTAATAGCACTGTCCTCCCGTTGTTCATCGATTTGCTAGAGTGGGCACCAGTAACCTCTCCATTGTGAGGTTTGTTGTTACTGTTTTTGGCATATCGAATATGTCACGGGGAGCTTGCCAGGCTTTGCCGTGTGGGCGGGATTCTCTTGGTAGCTTGCCAGGCTCTCTGAGAGGGATGGAGGAATCAAACCTGGGTAGGCCACATGCGAGGCAAATGCCATACCCGCTGTGCTATCGCTCCAGCCCAGAGAAATTATAATGCCTTGAAAATTGAAATTGAGAGTACCATCTGAGAATTGTCAGGAGTTACCCAAAAATCCCCCAAAAAAGAAATAAAATTGAGGAGCCAGAGAGGGGGGGCGGTGGGGAGGGAGGGGGAGAGAGAGAGAGAGAGAGAGAAAGAGAGAGAGAGAGAGAGAGAGAGAGAGAGAGAGAGCATCAAGTAAGGAATTTGTCTTGCACACAACCAACTCTGTTTCTTCCCCGCATCTCATATGGTTCCTGGAACACCACCAGGAGTGATTCCTGAGTGCAGAGCCAGGAATAACCCTGAGCATTGCCAGACATGGCCCCAACCTATCCCCCGCCCCCCGCCAATTGAAGTAAAACTTGAATATTCAAATTAACCTTTCAATGTCAAGTGGAAAAGAGAAAATATGAGTGAATGGGAAAACCTAATCTTTCATTTAGGTTTCAACAGAACTTCAAGTGATCTGAACATTTATAGCTTATTTCTGAACACATAAGTTATTGTGAATAGATAAAATGTATTTTGTTTGTTATTTAAAATATCAGAGAGCAAATCTCTTTGGAGAAAAATTAAGTCTGGTCCAAGCTGGTGGTAATGGGAATTGATGTAGTCTGTCTAGAGAATGACAGAGATCCAGAATTACTTCTCCTGGGCATTTGTCCAAAGGATATAAAAACATGAATTCAAGTGGGTATTTGTACCTTTATGTTCATATCAGCATTAGTTATAGGTAAAATATGGGACCAGTTTATTTTTTTTTCCTTTTTGGGTCACATCCGGTGATGCACAGGGGTTACTCCTGGCTCAAGCACTCAGGAATTACTCCGGCAGTATTCAGGGGACCATATGGGATGCTGGGAATTGAACCCGGGTTAGCCGCATGCAAGGCAAATGCCCTGTCCACTGTGCTATGGCTCCAGCCCCAGGATCAGTTTAATGTTCATCTATAGTTACCTAGGTAAATAAACTGATATTTTGTTATTTTAAAAGATGAAATGATGTACTTTGGGATAAAATATATGGAACTTGGTTTGACTATGCTAAGTAAAATAAGGAAGTGAAAGCAATTATTGGGTGGCTTCACTCATAAGTGTAATATGAGTTACTAGAGCAAGCAAACTTGCAACAAACAACAAAATTCCTAGACTCAGTGAAAACGATAGAAAGGGATGCATGGCTAATGAGCAGAGGGATCTTTTCACTGATGAAATGGCATTCGTAGTGAGAGATATGACAATCTTTGTTTTGGGGTCACACCCAGTGGTCATCAGGGGCTATTCCTGGCCATGTGCTCAGGATTAATCTCTGGCAGAGTTTAGTCAACCATATAGGTGCCAGGGACTGAATGAGAGGGGGTCCTACACTGGTAGATGTAGGCCACGTGCCTTATCTTCTGTACTATCTCTCCGGCCTGAGTGGTAACAATTATACACACACAGAGAATGAAGCCAACCCCCTAAAGGGCCATACCAATGTAGATCAATCATTAGCCAATAAAATTTTTAAAAGTTTAAGCCTTTTTATTTTTTATTTTATTTTTATTTTATTATTTTTATTTTGGGCTGGAGTGATAGCACAGTGGGTAGGGCGTTTGCCTTGCAAGGGGCCAACATGGCCGACCTGAGTTTGATTCCTCCACCCCTCTTGGAGAGCCCGGCAAGCTACCGAGAGTATCTTGCCCACATGGCAAAGCCTGGCAAGCTACCCGTGATGTATTCAATGTGCCAAACATAGTAACAATTGTCATAATGGAGACGTTACTGGGCCTGCTTGAGCAAATTGATGAACAATGGGAGGACAGTGACAGTGATTTTTATTTATTTATTTTTTTTAGTTTAAACCATTTTTAAATGGTTCAAACATAACTTATGTTACCTAGAAGTGAAGTGAAGAAAAATTAGGACAGCTACAATATATCTTCAAATTAGTTGATGAGTAGCACTGCACTGCATTGTCCTCCCGTTGTTCATCGATTTTCTCAAACGGGCACCAGTAACCTCTCCATTGTGAGATTTGTTGTTACTGTTTTTGGCATATCGAATACGTCACAGGGAGCTTGCCAGGCTTTGCCGTGTGGGCAGGATTCTCTTGGTGGCTTTCTGGGCTCTCTGAGAGGGGTGAAGAAACAGAAGGCAGGTTGGCCGCATGCAAAGCAAACGCCCTACCCGCTATGCTATACAAAATATCTTTTTTTTTTTTTTAGATTCAGTAAGCAGAACTGTGAGTCTCTACAATGAAGGAAATTCAAACTCTGAGATGAAAGGGCTAAATATTTGTGATAATTTCTAGGGTGTTTTTTTGTTTGTTTGTTTTTGTTTTGAGGTTGCACCTGGTGGAGCTCAGAAATGGCTCTGAGCATGCCTGGCTCTGTGCTCAGGGATCACTCCGGGAGGGGTTTGTGAAACCATATGCTGTGCTGGGGATTCAACCAAGGTCAGTTAGGTGCAAGGCAAGCACCCTACCAGCTGTACTATCTCTCCGGTCCCAGTCATTTCTAATTATAGGACACAGCTTACCTTATCCATGCTCTGCTTGAAGGAATTAGAAGTGGTCTCTTTTACTAGGTTGAAGAAGATTTGTCTGTCTTCTTGATCTATCAGACGGTCATAGAATACTCGATACACCTCATGGATCCAAAGTCGAATAAGTTTTTCTACATCCTGAAAATCCAGAGTTAATTCTTTGAATGGGGGCTGGAGCGATAGCACAGTGGGTAAGGTTTTGCCTTTCCTGAGGCCGACCGGGTCGGCCCAGGTTCGATTCCTCCGCCCCTCTCGGAGAGCACAGCAAGCTACTGAGAGTATCTCGCCCGCATGGCAAAGTCTCGCAAGCTACCCATGATGTATTCGATTGCCAAACACAGTAACAAGTCTCACGATGGAAGTGTTACTGGGCCCGCTTGAGCAAATCAATGAACAACGGGAGGACAGTGCTACAGTGCATTGCAATTCTTTGAATGAATGGAAGATAGTGCCTTAGGTAGTAGTTCTCAAACAATTTCTATGTCCTGGGTCTGACATGAGGACTCAGAGAATAATACTTATAAGGTACTTAGCTCAGGGGCTAGAGTGATAGCAGAGTGATAGCAAAGTGGGTAGGGCTGTTCCTGGTTCAATTCCCAGCATCCCATATGGTTCCCCAAGCACCGCCAGGAGTAATTCCTGAGTGCATGAACCAGGAGTAACCCCCTGCGCATCGCCGGGTGTGACCCAAAAAGAAAAAAAAGGGAAAAAAAGATACTTAGCTCAGTAGCTAGCATAAATAATGCTTACTGAACTTCGACTAGTTCTATTATCATTGTATATCCCTGTAGACAAAGGCAGCCCCGAATAAACTTGATAATGCCCATGAAAGCTACTGACCTGCAAATGAGTATGAGGGCATAGAAGCACACCCTGGATAACCCGTGAGAAGTCCCGCAGGTTAAAGACGTAATGTGACTTGGAGGGAGTTGGTAAGAAATTCTCCACCGCAGCTTTATAAATGGCCATGGTAGCTTGCACCATTATCTTTCCGTTCCTTGGAAGTAAGGGGAAGGCCGAGCAGTTAAGGAGGACCCCGTACTGAGGACCCATTAGGCCAATGTTTGGCCAGTGTTTGGTTACCAGGACCTCTTACCTTAAGAATGATACATCAAACCCTTTAGCAAAGTGCCAGTCAGAAATAGCAGTGAAAATCTTGATTAAAGTATCATCATCAAAGGCATTGATGGAAAGGATATTCAGATGGCGTGTGAATCGTCCTGGAAGACACACAAACATAGACTGACCCTGCTGAATCTAGGGATCCTGGGTTGTAGGACAGTGGTCTTTCCTTGGCCTAAAGTTTTGTCTAACATGCAGCCTCTAACCACATGTAGCACTGTAGCACTGCCCCAGTAACATCTCACAACAAATTGTGAGACTTGTTGCAGCTACTTAAATTTAAATATTGAATACGATTTAAACAATGTTATTTCCTCAAATCCATTCACTCCCAAATTTCAAGAACAACATGTGACTAGTGGTTGGTATTTTGCACAAAAAAAAGTTACAGAACATCTCCATGATTGCAGAAGTTCTCATGACAGTGTAAGTCTAATGCTTCTTTGTTTTCAAAGGATAAAGGTGATATATTACTACTGTAAAAGTAAAATGATACAAAAGCCATAGCATAGAAAGTATCTGCTTTGAGTTACCTTCCATATACCAAATTCATTCTTGCTTCAAATTAATCATTATTAATTTGGTATCCTTACATATCTATCCCCCCATTATTTATTTATATACATACATACAAACCTGTTAGATTTATCTATAACTCAATCTCACTTTGATGAGTTATGACTCACATATCACACAATTCATTAACTTAAAGTTCAAAATAATTTTTTAAAAGTATATTTAGAGTTGTGCAACTATTACAACGATCAATTTTCGACTATTTTAATTATCTGCAAAGGAATATCCCTTAGAAATCACTTGCCACTTCCTTGCAGTCTGGGGGAAACCAATCTATTTTTATCTCTATAGATTTGCTTGAACATCTCAAAGCTTTTTGTTATATAAACCAAAACACAGGTATAGAAAATGACATAAAACAAATGTATAGATTAGTGAATCACTGTAAGGTTAACCCACCCTTACATTTGCTTTCCAGGTTAAGAAACAGAGAAGGTGAACGTTCTCCCAACTTGAGCTGCTCTAAACTTGTATTCCAGGTACCAGTGAGACTCTCTGTTGCCTGCTTTGGAACTGGACTATCTGCAGATCTGCTAGATGTCTTATTATTTCCCTGTATTTTATCCTGCACAGATAACATGCAAGTCTTAGAGTTCTTAATAGTTATTTCCCACCGATTGTGCCTTGGAATTTGTGAGGACACTTTGCCAACTAGCTTTGCAAATATTATTTGTAGGTTGTTATTTTGCCATCTAGTTTCTCAGTTTATAGGAATTAGGGAGGCATTAAAAATGATTCTGCCACTGTTGATGTCATGTCTCCAAAATTCTTTTCATAATTCCTATTTTATGTATGTGAATAGGCTTACTCTCCACTATGCTTATGTACTGATCTATGTTGTCTTTGCTGGAGTGATAGCACAGTGGGTAGGGCGTTTGTCTTGCACACGGCTGACCAGGGTTCGATTCCCAACATCCCATAGGGTCCCCCGAGCACCGCCAGGAATAATTCCTGAGTGCAAGAGCCAGGATCATTTGACACATTCTTCATCTAGAACCACTGATAATTGTGTAAACTTAAAAAAAGTCACAATGTTTCTTATAATTATAATAATTTGATATTTGTGAAAATAGTAATTTTTATTGAATGCAACATACTTAAACTATAAAACCCAGCTCCCGGAAGCACGCAGCCACATTTGTGGCCGCACGACATCTTATTATCTCATTTTTCCTTTGGAGAACCCAGCGGGCTACTGAAAGTATCCTGCCCGCACGGCAGAGTCTGGTAAACTTCCCGTGTTGTACTCAATAGGCCAAGTATCAGTAACAATGATGGGTCTCATTCTCCTAATCCTGAAAGAGCATTGGAAATGGCTCCTTTAAAATCTCAGGGCTAGGAAGAAGGAGACATTACTGGTGCCTGCTCTAGGCAATCGACAAACAACAGGATGATCGCGATCATGATCGAAACGTACTTAGAAAGATGTGAGAGGAGAGAAAAGGTGAAATGTGTTCAAGATAGAACACAGGCTTCTCTAGAGTGGAAATAAGCAAGCAGAGAAACAGAGAGACAAGCAGCAAGATACATGCTCAAGGGAGAACATAGGCTTGAAGAGCAAGCCAAACTTGATATTTGTTCACCTTATTATATTACCTCAGCTCAAATCAATCTTTTTCCAAACCATATTCTAAACTTTCCCCCAACCCCCCTGCCAGTTTTTGGGCCACATCTCAGAGTTCACACCTTCTGGCTCTGTGCTCGGAGATCACTCCTGATGGCACACAGGGGGCCAAGCATATGGGAAGCTGGGGATCAAACCCAGGTCGGCCACATGCAAGGCCTTAGCCACTGTGTTAGTTATCTCTCCAGCCTCTAAGCTAGTATATCTTAACTTGGGTCTGTATGGTACCATGTAGGTTCCCAGGATATTGTAAGGGTGAAACCGGTGAAACCACATAAGTGGGCAACCACAGTATGAGACTAAGGGGCCAATTGGTAGGACAGCAGTGTGTGTGTGGGGGGAGGGGGCTACAGGAAGGAAAAAAGTTGGAAGGGGTGGGGCTGGGGCGATAGAGCAGCAGGTAGGGAGTTTGCCTTGCACGTGGCTGACCCAGGTTTTATCCCCAGCATCCCGTATGATCCCCTGAGCATCACCAGGAGTAATTCCTGAGCGCAGAACCAGGAGTAACTCCCGAGTTAGGCCTGGTATGACCCAAAAAAGAAAAAAGCAAAGGAAAACAAAACAATATGTTGAAGGGGGCCACTGTCAGGAAAAGACTGAGAAACACAGCTCTAGATCGCTTCACTCCAGTCTCGTATACCCAGGCACTGGTATCTCCAGGACAGCTGGTAGATTGGCACTTACAGCTACGTTGTTGATTCTCTACTGAACACAATTTTACTAAACACCATCATCATATATAGTTTCTTCCTGGCTATAATGGGACAGGACAGAAATAAGACTGCTCTGCATTCATGAAAATGAACAAACTTTGCCCCTTCCAACTACCATGAGTGCCTATTCCTTTACTAAGTACCAACTCCAGTCCCCACTTTTTTCCTGCCTTCTAGATAAAAGGTAAGGTTTCATTCAACACATTTTTCTTACTTACTGTGAGCACCCCAAGGCAGAACAGAACTTCTAGTTCCCTAGCCTTCCCTCAAATTACTCAGCACAATCTACTGAGTTCTCTGCAGTCAAGCCTTGGATGGTTCTCCAGGCTCTGGAGACTATTGCTGCATCGAGTTAATAAACCCAATTTCATTTGACTATGGAGGTATTCTTGGCAGTCACAGTTCTCTGATCTTTATTACAGTCTTTCCAAAGACCGTATTTATTACACAGCCTGAAATGCCAATTGCTATGTAAACATTAATATTTTACTATTAGCAAATAGCATTTACTTTTAGCATATAACTATAAAGTGTTTATCACCATTTCTGTATTATGTTTTAGAAATAGTAAATCTTTTCTCCCAGTTTTATTGACATACAATCGACATATTACACAAATAAATTTAAAGTATACAACATGATACTTTAAATGGAGCGATAGCACAGCAGAAGGGTGTTTGCCTTACAAGCAGCCAACTTGGCCGACCCAAGTTTGATTCCTCCGCCCCTCTCGGAGAGCCCAGCAAGCTACCGAGAGTATCTCGCCCGCACTGCAGAGCCTGGCCAGCTCCTCGTGACGTATTCGATATGCCAAACACAGTAACAACAAGTCTCACAATGGAGATGTTACTGGGCCTGCTCGAGCAAATCAATGAACAACGGGAGGCCCGTGATACAACATGATAAATTGATACACAGAGCTATTCTAAAATTATAGCCACAATAAGCTTAGTTAAACACTTTTTTAAAACCACGCATAGCGTTATTTTGTATGTGGTGTTAACAGTAAGATCTATGCTCTTTGCAACTATTACATATGCAATACAGTATTTCCAAGCTATCCATTAGAACCCCAGAACTCAATTATTTTATGGCTATAGTAGCTGAAGTTTGTACTATTTCACCCCCTTTGCCTATTTTGCTACTTGTTTCCCATTCTTGCCTCTGACAACCTCCAATCTATTTTTTTATTAGCATGGTTATTATTATTACTTATTGCTGCTGTGACACACACATAAATGAGATTGTGTGGCATTTGTCTTTTTTGGTCTGGCTTATTTCACTTAGCATTAATCCTTTCAAGGTCCTTTCATGTTGTTGCAAATGGCAAGATTTTCTCTTTTTAATTTTGTTCTGTTTTGGGAGGAGTGACACCAGGAGTTGGTCTGGGTATATTCCTGGCTCTGTGCTTAAGGGTCACTCCTGACAGTGCTCAAGGGACCACAGGGCACCGGAAATTGAACCTGGGTCTGCCTCATGCAAGGCAAGTGCCTTAGCCACTGTACTCTCTCCAGCCCAAGAGCTTATCTTTCCTAATGGCTTACTAATAGTCCACTATATATACACAATCTTGTGTCATGATGGGAGATGTATTCTGAGAACTGCACTTGTTAGTGAACTGTCATTGTGAGAATGTTAGAGTGTAATTACACAAACCTAGAGAGCATAACCTATACATGTAAGGCCTGTAGAGAGATCACTATCAAATTTGTAACTCATCATGAAAAAACTTTCTTTTGTGGTACATGATTATCTACCAAATTTCCCTTACATCCCCATCCAGGCATAAACATTTAGGTTTTTTCCATATTTTATGAGGTTAGTTTGTGTTCTACTTCTTTTTTGTGGGAGACACAGCGGACGATGCTTGGGGTTACTAACTCCTGGCTCTGCACTCAGGAACCACTTCTGGCAGTGCTCAGGAGACCACATGTGATTGAACTTGGGGTGGCTGCATGCAAAGCAAACTCCCTACCTGTTAAACTATAGCTCTTGCCCCCTTTTAGTCACTTTTCTTTAAATAAATGCCCAGAAGTAAAACTCCTGGGTCATACGATAGTTCTATTTTCAATTTTTTGAAGAACTTCTCTTCTTCTTCTTCTTCTTCTTCTTCTTCTTCTTCTTCTTCTTCTTCTTCTTCTTCTTCTTCTTCTTCTTCTTCCTCTTCTTCCTCTTCTTCCTCCTCCTCCTCCTCCTCCTCCTTCCTTCTCCTTCTTCCTTCTTCCTTCTTCTTCTTCCTTCCTTCTCCTTCTTCCTTCTTCTTCTTCCTTCTTCTTCTTCTTCATTATTATTATTAAATCACAGTGAGATACACAGTTCCAAAGTTGTTCATAATTGGGTTTCATTCAAACATGGAAGCTTTGTAACAGTATCTCACTGTGATTCAATAAAAAAAAATTGAGTTTCATTCATATAATGTTCCAACACCTGTCCCTTCACCAGAGTTCATTTCCCACCACCACCAATGTCCCCAGTTTCCCTCCCACTCCCCTCTCCTGCCTCTATGTCTCTACGGCAGGTACTTCTTCCTCCCCTTTCTCTCTCTCTCTCTCTCTCTCTCTCTCTCTCTCTCTCTCTCTCTCTCTCTCTCTCCCTCTCCTTTTGGGAGTTAATTATGATTTGCAATACAGATGCTGAAAAGTCATCACGTTTATCCTTTTATCAACTTTCAACACTCAGTTCTTATCCAGAGTGATCCTTTCTAACTATTTTGTCCACATTATTTTTTAAGTGGATTCACCAAATTACCTTTCCACTAACAGTGCAAAGGCTTTTCTTTTTCACATCTCCTTGTCAGCACTTGTTATTTCTTGTCTTTCTGATAACAATCATTTAAAAAGATATGAGATAATATCTCATTGTGGTTTTGATTTTTGTTGCTGTTTTGTTTTGGAGCCCCACCTGGCAATGCTCAGAGATTACTCCTCGCTCTACACTCAGAAATCCCTTCTGGCAATGCTCTGAGGACCGTATGGGATGCCAGAAATCGAACCCACATTGGTTTCGAACCCTTTCCAAATCAAGTGCCTTACCTGTTGTACTGTCTCTCTGGCTCACTATGGTTTTGATATTTTGATATTTTCCTGATGATTAATTATGTTGAAAGTCTTTTCATGGGCCTGTTGGCTACTGAATGTCTTCTTAAGAAAAACATCTGTTCAAATCCTTGACTCATTTAAAAATCAGTTTGTTGTTTTGTTATTGAGTCATAAGTACCCTGTGTATTTTTCTTGTTTTACAGGTTAGAAAGCTAATAGCAGAACTAATAGCGTGATAACAGAACCCAAGGCTGGAAATGGTATTAATACTTAACCAAGGAAATAGTTCATAAAAATAAAGTCACCTACTATCCTGAATGGACCAAGCTGAACCTCAATCATGGTCCAGACCTGTTATTAGAACCACAGAGGGGAAAGTCCAGGTTGTTTATTATTTTTCTCGGTATAGTTTGGGTGCATTGATATGTCTCAGAAAATCTTAAGGATTACAACAAGTAGAACAGGCAAATCTGTCATGTACTCTTAGTTGTGAGCCTCTTATCTAGTTTCCCTTCAAAAATATGTATTGGCCACATCAGACTCTGCTTTTCATATGAGATTCTCGGTTCCCAGAGGACCCGGCCAAAGACTTATCACATCCCATTTACATCTTTCCATCCTATGTCTATCAGAATGAATTCGTCAAACATGACACCCTGAAGGTAACCAAATCCTGTTGTCTGTCTGTTGCCTAGATACGCTTTCATCTGGTCTCCTCCAGGACTGAGTGCTCTGTACCAGTTTTCCATTCCTGCAGAAGGCCTGCCTCTATTTCACCTACCAGTAATGTCATTCCTTCCTCCTCCAGGGGGACCCATGGCTGTCACAAGCAGCATATCCACAATGTCCAACCTAGTTGTGTCCTTCTTGTCAAACCAGTAACCGTGGTCAATCCATTGCCTTAGGAGCTCGATGGGAGGCTGGGCCCCATATACCTCTTTGGCTGGCATGTTGAGGTCATCTGGTGAAAGAAGCCATGAGCACACAGTTAAAGCTTATGGGTTACTCTGCTCTTGCAAGAAGGCAACAGATTCCTTTCATGAGAGAGTCTGTGTTCAACTGTCCCATCCCTTTTCCAGACAGCATTCAGGCAGTGGACATTTGACAATGGGAAGAGTTTTTCTTGAATTTTGGATCTCCTGCCCCACTGAGATCCATACCTGTTATTACTTTAAGGATGCATAAATGGTATCACTGAAACATTTATTTTTTTTTATCATTTTTTCCAATAAAAATATTTTTCTACTATGTGTTAGACATTTTGTTCATTGTTGGGTGTTTTAATGGTGGGGAATATAGTCATATTCTTAGCCAAGTGTGTATTTAATCTCACCAGCAGGTAATAGTTGAACTCCAATGGGAGCAAAGCTTTAGGCTAGGTATTTTGAGAAGCAAAACCAAGCTGCAAGAGGAGACTGAGATTGTGATTTTGACAACAAGAATTTCTTTTCCCCAAGAGCAGAACACCTGGTCTTGGCACATAGGAGGCACACTCCCCCCACCCCCCCAATGAAGGCTTTTTCCCCCTTTCTAATGAACATTGATTAGAATATCCAGTTTGTGCCTTGCAACATTTTTGGCCTACTTTTTAAAAAGTAGTAATTCTTTAACTAACCCAAATAATGACTTTGTAAGGTGGATAATAATACCATTATAAGAAAGCTGAAGAATTGGGGGTCATGTAAGTTAAGTCAGAAAAGTCCTAAATTTATAGATAATTAAAGAGATTTGAACCTAGATATGTTTGGCTGTAAAGTTTTAACTATTTGTGGGTTTATAGTAAAATCAGGAAGATAGAATTTGTGGGAGAAAAGGAGAAAGAAATAAAAAGAAAAGGGAACTAACGTAAATTAAGGTCCTTGCTTTTAAAAAGCAGAATTATAGTTGGTAAGAGGATAAAGGCATGCAACTTTTACTATTGCTATTTAAACTTTTAAAGCATAACATGAGATAACCTAGAAGAATAGACAGAACATACGTTATATAAGGCAAAAAGAAACCCGGGCTTGGGCGATGGCTCCAGAATGTTCTAGATGTTTAACTCTGCACAGGGAATACAATCTTTGGAATTCCCATTAACTGGTTAGTGAAATAATAATGATGTAATAATAATTATGTGAGTAAAATTAAGTTTTATTTAAAAAATTAAACAGGTAAAATTTCAGGAAAGTTATTATGCTTAAGTCATATTTATTTAGCAACTACTAGATTTTAAAATTTATCAATAGCATATTTATCTAGCACAAAATGGAAAGAGAAACTTATCACAAAATGTGTGTTGCTTTTGGAGATGAAAATGGGCAACACTGCAATACCTTTCTGGGATTACTTCTCACTGAAAGGTAATGTTGCCTGATCCTCTGAGAGGAAATAGGAAGCTTCCGTCTACCAAAAGGTAACTTTTAACATTTTTGACCTACAATACATGATCATCAAATACTTGGTAACAGAAGAAAGGAAAGAAAAAATGAATAAAAGAGAAAAAAGAGGGAAGGAAAGAAGGAAGGAAGGGAGGAAGGAGGGATGAAGGAAGGGAAGGAGGGAGGATGGGGGAATAAAACTAAATTATATTAACCAGAAATATTTTATCTCCCAGTGTTAATAAAAGGCCTGTAGGACGGTCATGCAAAGGGCTGTCTTAGTTTGTTTGGGTGTAAGAAACGAGTTGTACCCAGATTTTGGTCTTACCCACAAACACCACTGCCTTCTTCCCTAAGGGAGGCCCGAAAAGACCTTTTCTCCTTCGGTCCAGCTTGGACATAATGATATCTTGGGTCTGATTGGCTGAAGTTCTGGCAGAGAAATTGATGCAGTTGGGCAGGTAGACATTTTTGGGAAGATGGAGAAGAAAGTTGTTGGTGATGGCAGATTTGCCAGTTCCTGTAGGACCCACAAACAGTGTTGGAATCTCATGGTTTATGTAGGTTTTCAAGAAGAAGGACTGTCGGGCTGTCTCCATTGTAGGGATGATGAGGTCTGAGATCTGTACCACAGAGGGAGAGGAGAGTCTTAGTACTGAACCCAGGAGGCTGGGTCTTGGTCTTCAGGAGATCTGGATTCAATTCTTTAATTTTTGTATTTTTAATTTTAGGCATTGTGATTTACAATACTGTTCCATGCATACAATACTCCAACATCCTCCACCAGAATGTTCCCTCCACCTATTCTCCACCACCCTACCCTGCCCCGCCCTTCCCCTCCCTCACCACACACGGCACATTAAGCTCAATTCTGTAGACCTGTTCCCTGGTTCTGTTACCTTTGGCCATTTGTCATTGGTTTCTTTATATCCCACAGAAGAGAGAGTCCATTCTGTTTCTGTTCCTCTCCTCCTGAATAAGTTCATTCACCATAACTCTCTCAAGAGCAGCCAATTGCATAATTAAGTCTTTTCTTATAACCAAATACCATTTCACTGTGTATAGACACCACCATGTCTTTCCTCAGCCATCTGTTCTTGGACACTTGGGCTGCTCTGGATTCATCCAGTCTATTCAGCTTTGCCATGTACTATCTTGATGGTCTTGAGTGAGTACTTAACCTCAGCCTGTTGAGCTCTCTTCCCGTCCTTCTACACTGTATACTGAAACACCCAACTGTCATATTATAAATGCTAATCATATAAGGATGGATCTATAGCCCCGTGATCATTGCTCAGAATCAACCTTCCAGTCTGTCTCACTCCAGGCAAGGTCCACCCCCCATTTGCCATATTTATTCCAATGATTCAGGAGGTTTGTGATTGACCCTCGATCTTAATTCTCTGTGCTTGTTCCTCACCTGCTTTTCCAAAACTTGGTTCTGAGACCCACCCCTCCCCTTAACCTCTTATCCATAACAGGATTAAACTCTTCCTGATATTCAGATCCAAATTGAACTCATAGATTCAATGTTAGCATTTTTAAAAAGAGAAGCATGCATACACAAGCTTGGATCAAACCTTCAAACACCTGTGCTTCAGCATCACAGACCCAGATTTCTACTTGCTTTCATTGTCCATGTTTCGATTTACTCAGCTACATAATACCAGAAAGAAAAAAACACTGGCTGCAATCATTAGAAACCCTATTATGAACTCTTAGCCCACACTGTGTGCTGTGATCAATGGCATTTGTGAATCTGATTATCATTATCAACCATACAAAGTGGCCATCAGTCTACCCCTCATTCATTTCTGTTAAGAAGAGATCCAATTTTTCTTTAAAATCCCAAGAGGATCGGAGATATAGTTCCAGGGTTTAAGGCACTTGCCTTGCATGCACCTGACCCTCAGTTCAATCCTCTGCACTGTGCGGCTCCCTGAGCCCTGCTGGAAGTGACCCCAGAGTGCTGAATCAAGAGTACCCATTTGGGGGTATGACCTAAAATAGTTCCCCCTGCAAAACAAAATTCTCAGAGAGGAGTCAGAGGGATAGCTCAAAGGCTTAAAGCACCTTCCTTGCAAGCATATGGTGACAAGTTCAAATCCCTGCCTTCCCTGGAGTGCGCTCCACACAATAAATATGGCACAGTACTCTCTGGAATCTTTGGATACTGGCCCACCAAGCACTGCAACTCAAAAGAGAAATCTATCTCCAGGCCAGAGGGATAGGACAGAGGTTAAACTCACCAACTTGCCTGTTACGTAGTTGTCCCCTGGCCCCAATAGATGGTCTCCTGAAAACCACCAAGAGTGACCCCTATGCACAGAACCAGGAATAGTAATTGAGCATCATTGGGGTTTGTCCTCCAAACAAAACAAAATTAAATAATCATTGAGCACCTGGTTCTGCATTCAGGGCCACTTTCTAGCTGTGTGGCTTTGCACAGGTTTGCCAAGAGACCTCCTCCAATCCTAGAAAGTGGAAGTAATAATTACCTGTCTCAGGTGTGACTGGAAAAGACCACAAGGATAATGCAGCCAGAATTTTCATTGTCCCACTCCTATGCTCATTTTTTGCACTTTGATTACCTTGTAATGGCTGCTCCTTTCCTAAGCTTTCACTTTCTTTTTTTTTTTTTCAGTTTTTTTTTTTTTGGTGTGTGTGTGTGTGTGTGTGTGTGTGTGTGTGTGTTTAATATTTAATACTGGGTTTGGGGGCTACACTAAGCAGTACTCAGGGCTTATTCCTGCCTCTGTGCTTAGGGATCATACTTGACAGGACTCAAGGGACCCAAGTCTACTTCTTGTTAGGAAAATGTCCTACCCACCTGAACTATCTCTCAAGCCTCTCTACTGTTAAAAAGGAGAAGAAAATCAGCCTTGGAGCGGAGTCAGTTAGAAAGAAAGGGATGGACACGGAATGACCTCACCACTCATATGTGGAATTTCAAGATACACAGCAAGGTAGCAACAAAGGCAACACTGCTTCATAAAATTGACTTTGGCGGGGGGGGGGGTGTTGAAGGGGTTCAAAGGGAGGAGCATTTGTGGGAAGGAGGTAGGCACACTGGTGATGGGCGCAGTGATGGAATGACAGACACGGGAAACCACCATTAACAGTATTGGAATCACAGTGCCTCAACCAATAACAAAATTAAAAGGCACAAAGCAAAAAAGAAAATTGCAAGCATTGGCATTGATTCCTCCACCTTGGAGAAAAATGTGTTATTATTGGAACTGAAATTCCACAGTCAATGCCTTTTTTTTTTTACCTTTGCATCAGGTGCAATATGTTCCTCCTCTTTGGTGATATACTCTGTCCACGTGTGCCACTGTCCACCACCTTGCTTGAAGAAATAAAAATCATAGATGCTTCCTGAACCCAAAGGAACAGAACAGAGCGTGAGGACTGTAGGGGCTACATTTCAAATATAAATCTAATAAGAGATCACTGTCACTGTCACTGTCTTCCCATTGTTCATCGAGTTGCTTGAGCGGCCCATTAACGTCTCCATTGTGACACTTCTTGTCACTGTGTTTGGCATATTGAATACGTCACGGATAGCTTGCCAGGCTTTTGCTGTGCGGGTGAGATACACTTGGTAGCTTGCTGGGCTCTCTGAGAGGGGCGGAGAAATCGAACCTGGGCCGACCAGTTTGGCCGCATGCAAGGCAAAGGCCCTACCAGCTGTGCTATTACTCCAGCCCAATAAGAGGTATTCAACGAAAAACTACATAATGGCATCAGCAAAAGATCTTTGACAATGCATAAGTACCAGTAATGGCACAGAGCACTGGGAAACTAGTGAGATTGACACATATTTTGTTAGTACAACATTATATATTATTTTGCATTGTGAACTATAATGATGCCCTTCAAAGAATAATAATGGTGATGGTACAAAAAATAATAGGTATCTAATAAGGTAAAGGTAAAGGCCCTCCCGTTGATCGTCGATTTGCTCGAGCGGGCCCAGTAACGTCTCCATTGGAGACTTTGTTGTTACTGTGTCTGGCATATCGAATACTCTCGGTAGCTTGCCGGGCTCTCCGAGAGGGGCGGAGGAATCGAACTCGGGTCGGCCATGTTGGCCGCTTGTAAGGCGAACGCCCTACCCGCTGTGCTATCGCTCATTTAAATAATGTACATAGGAAACAGAAAAAGCCAGAACCTTCCATCTTCCTCGGCACTAAACACGTTGGAGATGAAATGACAGACAGATGAAAGAGCCCCCTAAGAATGGTATAGTTTGAAAGACATTGGGGTACTGGGCGCCTTCGGGGAGAGCAGCGAGCACTAGTGCTGGGTGCAGCATAGGAATTATGTACACGGGAAACCACCATTGAGAGATGTATTTTTTATGAAGTCTAGTTTATCTATTTTTTGTACTTATTCTTGTGTTTTAAGTGTCTTAAATCATTGCTTAGACTTTGGTTATGAATACTAAACCCTGTTTTCTTATAATAAGTCTTAGGTTTTAACCTAAAGTTGGGTCATTGATTTTTCTGTTTCTGTTTGTCTCATGGTCTGTGTCTGTCTCTGCCTCTCTGTGACTTGTCCAGCAGTGTTCAAGTGCTCTCAGGTGAAAGAAGATCAAGCTCTACAGACCTACCGTTCAATGCTCAGGTGCAGTAATGCTCAGGGCCACCCAGGCTACCCATGACGGTGCTAGGGACGAAACTCGGCTTCCCACGGGAGGCATGTGCACCAGTTCTTTAAGTCACCTACCCTGCTTGCTCCATGATGACTCATTGAGTTAATTTTTGACTATGGCGTGAAGTAGGAGCCTATATTCATTATTTGATATGTAAATATTCCATCACCCAGGATTTTTTATTTAAAAGATTATTTCCTCTCTCCCCCCTCCATTTAATTATCTTAATACTCTTGTCAAAAATAAGGTCACCAGTGGGTCTGGAGTGATAGCACAGCGGGTAGGGTGTTTGCCTTCCACCTAGCCAACCCAGGTTCAATTCCCAGCATCCCATATGGTCCCCTGAGCATCGCCAGGAGTAATTCCTGAGTGCAGAACCAGGAGTGACCCCTGTGCATCTCCGGGTGTGACCTAAAAAGCCAAAAAAGAAAAAAAAAGGTTTCCAGGGGCCTGGAGAGATAGTACAGCGGGTAGGGCATCTGTGCACTCATCCGACCTGGGTTCAATCTCCAACATCTCATATGGTTCCCCCGCGAGCAGCGCCAGGAGTAATTCCTGAGTGGAGAGCCAGGAGTAACCCCTGAGCATTGCTGATGTGACCCCAAAAGCCAGAAAAAAAATCAGGTCATCATTAATGTGATGTGTTTACTCTCAGTTCTATTCCATTGTTCCAGTCAGTACCATATTGTCATCTATAATTAAATATATATATATATATATATATATATATATATATATATGGTCATGTGTGTCTGTCTTTTGCAAAGTTTCCATACCATTCTCACTCTGATTATAAATCATGTAAATTCTTGACCTCTTTCCTAACATTATCTGGGGCCAATTTATTTCATCTACATCCTTGGATAGAGTTCAAGGATTGGTTTGTGAATTGTATTTCTTGTCATCTGAGGTTACAGAAGCTGCATAAAAGGAAATACTCAGTTGGCCTTGGCAGGAAACCTGGGTTCTGCATTCTTTTAACTGTTGTCCAACTTTCCTAGGCTGGGTTCATTCCACCCCCATTCCTGCTAGTGGCACATGCTCCTGGGGAGCGGGGCGGGGGGGGGGGGGTGAGGGGGGGAGGGGAGTAAAGAGAGGGGGCGGAGTCAGCTCATTTCATCAACCAGCTTGGAACTCCAGAAGAGACAAAAGCAGGCGGTTCTCCCTACTCCTACTAAGATTCCACAGAAATAGGGAGGGATCCCAAGCTCAGGTTTTTATTTTATGGGTGTTTAGGCTTTTTGCTTTTAAAATAAACTTTTCATAGCTGTCCAGTCACTATTGCAGTTTATTTTTCTTCACATTGGTGATTACCAGTGAGAACTCTCTGAATTATGCTGATTTTATTCTCAGAATTAATTATTATCTTGCTGTCAGGAGACAGTAAGATAATAGATTCTGGAATTGGGAAACATATCATGCATATATATATATATATATATATATATATATATATATATATATACTTTCTCCCTGTCTCCCTGTCCACCATTTTTCAGTGTTTGTATTACAGAACCAGTTTGTAATTCTTGCAATGGATATTGCTGGAGAATTTTCAGGCTTCACTTTTTTTTTTTTGGTGTTGATCATCTCACTTGGTATGGAAGCGTCTGTGAGCCTACGTCATGCTGCAGTTATACCTAGAAGGAAAATCTGGCACAATAATTTTAGCAAGCAAGCAATCTGGCATGATGCTTACAGAGCTATAAAAATGCTCTCTAGTTTAAGTTAGAAATCCGTTACTGGAAATTTAGCCTAAAGAAATACTTACAAATAATCTCTGTACAAGAGTATGCCATACCATCTGTGATGGCGAAAATTTGGGAAGAAGTTACATGTCCCACATTAAGACACCAGTCAAAATTATGTCTTGCAAAATGAATGGAATATTTTTTTCAGCCATTAAAATTACAAGGAAACAGAGATTTCTCAAAAGAGGCTGGAGCACATCTAGAGGCCCCAAGTTCCATCCCCTGGTATAGCACATGGTGCCCTGAACGCCACCACTATGCCCTGGCGAACACAGGGCACATCTGGCATTAATGGTGTCATACAGCACTGCACCACCAGACTAGAGCATAGAACTTTCAGGCTGGTATAGCCAAGGCTGGGTTTCTGGGAGCGCCGCCCCCCCCCCGGGTCCCCTGAACACTGTCTGGAAGGCTAAAGAAAAGATCCTCGCAAAGACTAAGTATTCTGTGGAAAAATGCTCCAAGGAACAAGGACAGATGGAAACAGAGAAATGAAAAAAATAGAATATATACCATCATGGGAGCTACACAAAGAGAAGAAAGCAGGTGGATCAGAGAGAAAAGAGATCTTGAAAATTGAAATACTGTGATAGGATGATTGCTACAAAAAAGAAAATGTGAAAAGCCAATGACAGTGCCTGCTTGAAGTTATGGTTCTTCTCATTACGTTAGTTGTGTAGGATGTAGGAGACAAAGTCATTACAATGAATAGGAGATGTAATAGGACAATGTGTCCTAGAAACTGACTGGAAGTTGTGTACATCCCGTCTTCCAGATCAACTGGTAAGATAACATGGTAAAGTGAACCAGTAATGGGGCTAAGCATAGTTCACATACCATCTTTGCTGACCGGAAGTGTGTGAAGAGATTAATCAGGAAGTATGGGAAAACAGAAAACAACATAAGAGCCCATGAAAAGAAAACATTACAATGTAAAGGACTGCAATATGGAGAATGTACTGAGGTTCATCCTCAAATAACGTCTCATTGATGAGTTCTTGGAAACTGATTTTATGCAAGAGGACGTGCAACTGATTTTGCCTAATGTAAACTAACAGTCTAGTTAATGCGTTTTATTTTATTTTATTTTTTGCTTTTTGGGTTACACCTGGCAATGCTCAGGGATCACTCCTGGCTTTGCACTCAGAAATTACTCCCAGCGGTGCTCGGGGGACCATATGGAATGCTGGGAATCGAACACAGGTTGGCCGCGTGCAAGGCAAACACCCTACCCACTGTACTACAGTTCCAGCCTACAGGCTAGTTGATGTAAACCAAAGGTAAGAACCTATGGCCTATACTTGGTCACACGAAAATCTCTGAACTGCATACACCTCAAGATTCAGGAATAATGCATTTGTTTATTTCCCAACTTACTCATTCCAGTTCAGGGTCATGTCAGGGTCCAACCCTGGACAGGATATACTTTTCACAAGGCACAATGTACACATGCCACACTCACTCAAGCTGGGACAACTGAGACACACCCATGAATATCTTCAATGCCTGCATATCTGGGAGATAGAGGAGGAAACCAGACTGCCTGGGAAGAAACTCACATAGAAATAAGGGAGAAAGTTCAAATGCCACATGTGCAGTGTCCCTGGCTAAAATGCAGCCCCTCCGCCCCCCCCACATTAGTGTTATAATAAAATGTTATCATTAAAAGGTAAAGGTAAAGGCCCTCCCGTTGATCGTCGATTTGCTCGAGCGGGCCCAGTAACGTCTCCATTGGAGACTTTTGTTGTTACTGTGTCTGGCATATCGAATACTCTCGGTAGCTTGCCGGGCTCTCCGAGAGGGGCGGAGGAATCGAACTCGGGTCGGCCATGTTGGCCGCTTGTAAGGCAAACGCCCTACCTGCTGTGCTATCGCTCCAGCCCATGGGTGCCACGGTGCGGGCTGGAGTGATACCATAGTGGTAGGGCGTTCGCCTATACAAGCGGCCAACATGGCCGACCCGAGTTCGA